TTTTTTTTTGTTTTTCTCCGGTACCAGGAACTGAACTCACGACCTTGCACTTGCCAGGCAGGCGCTTTGCCGCTGAGCTAAATCCCCAGCCCCTGGAGTTCCTTGTCTTGTGTATGCATTACAAAAATCTGTTCTTCAGTTGTCACATTGTTAATGCAGTTTTAGGGAGAAAACCCCAGCTTCCAGGATCCTAACTGACTAGGCTCAGCGACCTGCTCCAAAATCTCAATCAATCAGGGAGATGAGCAGTGGTGAAAGTCAGGAAAGGAACTACAATCTGTGTGGCCACTCTGGGAAGCACAGAAACAAGGGTACAAGGTCTGACTTTGAGGTTTTATGGAAAAGGGGTTGGGATTTGAAGAGCTAGCTGGGTATGTTGCCCTGGTCAAGTCATGTTCCAGGAGATTGTCACCTTAGGGCTGGTTCTGTGAGGTAAGGGGGAAGTCAGTTCCTCTGAGGTGATTGATTGCTGTGCTAGGGGCAGCCTTGGTTCCCATCATAGGTAACTGCTCTGCTTGTGGGGAGCAGTATAATCATGGGGTGAGCTCTGTGACAGGCCCCACTTTCACTAGAGTCCAAGGTGACTGTAGGTTTAGGACAATAATTGGAGACTTCTAGGCATCCTTTGAGGGGTCTGCAATAGGATGTTGTAAAAGATGGGACTTGAATGCCCTTGGAAATCTTAAAAAATACCTTAGTTAACTCTTGAGTCCTCAGTCATGAAAAGAAATGAGATAGACTGGGTAAATTTAAGGTTAATAAACCATATATTACCAGTTCTTAGACAGACACTGCTTAAGTGATTAGCACACGTATGTGCAGAGCGAAACAGGATTGGGAGCCAAAGCAATTTCAAGACAATAAAAAAGACAAATAAAAAATAAAGGTAGAAAAAAAAAATAAAAAAATAAAGGTAGAGATGCCAAGCTTTGTCCTGCTTTTAGTTACCCACTGGGAATCTGCAGGTCTAGCCTCTAGTTTCCTGTTATAGCATTAACATTCTACCCGTGTCTCTCTGCCTTCACGTGAACATATCATGACACCAGTCATTGCATTCAGAACAAACCCTGACCCAGTATGGCATCATTTTAACTTGATCTACAAAGATTCCATCCCCAAATCAAGTCGCATACACGGGTACCTGGGGTGAGGACTTCAGCATATCTTCTGGGGGGACATAATTCAATCCATATCTTAGCCCTCTTCAAATAAGCCTCTCTTTCCCTTTTTTTCTTCCTTTCTTTCTTCCTTTCTTTCTCTCTCTCTTTCTCTCTTTCTTTTTCTTTATTCCTCCCTTCCTTCTTGACTTACTTCCTCCCTCTCTCCCTCCCTTCCTTCCTTCCTTCCTTTTCTTATCCTAGGCTTTCATCATGTGACTCAATACTAGGTTTCTTTTGCTGTCCCATACTCCTCTCCCTTTGATTTTCTGAACTTCTGATCTTATTTCTCTTTAATTCAAACTTACAGACTATACATCAGTGCAAATACCTAGCTACCTAGCTTCTTCTTGCTGCTTATAGCACAATGTAAGAGGAGAGTGATATATGGAGGGGAGAACTGTTTAGCTATAAAGAATGAAAATGATGATTTTGAAAATTCTCAACTTCTTCAGATGTCAAAAGATACAATTTTCAGCTAAGAGCTCAGAATGGCCAAGAGATCTAAATAGTCAAGGCAAGGACCCTTTCAAGTCACTGAGTGTTCATCATAAGTCTCCATGACAACGGAGGGCCTCTAGGACACTTAAGAGCACTGTCACTCTGGTGTCTCTTTTATCTTTTTTATTTCAAAAGATCTGTGGGTGTGGCTTTGTTTAATTAAGTGAAATCTCAGGATTGCAAAGATCCCAAGGCACATCAGCAGGAACACCCACAGCAAGTAACCCCCGGCCCCCCTCCCCCGCTCTTGCCCTAATTCTCCTTAGAAGCAAGTTGATAGGCCTGCTCAGATAAAAATGTGTGCTACTTTCCATGAAAAAGGAAGGATGTCCAAGACTCCAAAGAGCAGAACTGAGGGTCTTCACAGAGTTTTCTCCCAGACCATGACACCTAGCAGAGCTTTGGGATACGGTGAAAGCATTTTGCGTAGGAAAGGAACACGTGTCGCTGGAGGTTTACGGTGAGGGGCTCTGACACCCTGCCTCTCCCACCAACCCGGGGTCTCCCGGTGATGATGGACCTCTCAGAGCTGGGGCATCTGCACAGTGGGGGTCCACAGCCTCTGGACACTCCAAGGTGACTGGCCACGACCCACCGTTGGCTGCCCGCGTGCTCTGAGTCACAGATGCGGGCGGGTCGATGGGGGGCGCCAGGGAGCAGCAGTCGGGCCTGGGTTGGGCTAGGCTCTGGGCACTCGCGGCACTTCTCCTCCGCCTACACTTCCTGGCTCTGGCTGCCCAGGACACTCAGCCCTTGTCAGAGGGTAAGTGGGGGCAGGGGCAGCCCGGACCCAGAGCAGCCACCTGGCAGGCTCTCCTGTCCCACCCCTTCACAGACCCCTGACATCCTCCAAGAGAACTCCAGCAAGGCCCAATATGGCTCAGGGGGTGCTGGGAAGTTGGCAGTTGGGAGGCCTGGCCTCTGGAATTGGGGGACAGGGAAGGTGGTGGAGAGGGCCCTCTCCCCTCCTGGTGTTTCCCGCTGGTTCTCAAGCGTGGGTACAAGGGCAGAAGATCCTGCCTGGATCAGTACCACATATTATTTCCCGGGCTGAGGGGGCAGGCAGGCCTATGCCATCCACCCTGGCCTTGAACTCTGCACCATTACCTCTGAATGCCTAAGTTTCTGCTCTTCCAGCACTTTGAGCGAGGTGCTGTTGTCCTTAGTGAGCAAGGGTCCACAAGAGCCTAGCCCAGAGCCCACATTCCTCCCTAAACCAATGCAACCATGTACTCATCTCAGTCTGTGGCCCAGGTCATTTCATTCTGGGCCCGAGAAGGGAAGAGTAGCTGTGGTGTTCCCTGAGTCCTGCTGATACCTACACTTAGGGGCACCAAGGGCTGGAGTCCTGAGTGCATCTGGCTGGGATTGTCTTCACAGTCTGCGGCAGGCCTGCGTACAGAGGGAAGATCTTTGGAGGTAATAAGGCAAACCCTGAACGGTGGCCATGGCAAGCCAGTCTGCTTCTGCATGGCAGGCACATCTGTGGAGCTTCCCTCATCGACAGAAATTGGGTGATCTCTGCAGCCCACTGCTTCCAAAGGTGTGAATTCCTGCCAAGAGTTGGGTTGTGGGAAGGGCTGCTGGGAGGGAGGAGCAGGGTGAGCGAGGTGCGACCAGAGTGACAGCTGCTGGGAAGGGTTGCTGGAGGGAAGGGCAGGGTGAGTGAGGTGTGACCAGCCTTTCTCCTCCAGTCTTCTCTGTGATGTAATTTGAGCAAAAGCCCTGGGATGGTAGCTGCTGTCAGGTGCCCTGTGCTGCTGCCCCACCTTTAACTCAGTGGCACCCTCTACCTGGAATGTCATCCTGCTCATCACTTGATTCCCCTCTCATGTCCATTGAAGTCAGATCTTCAGGCAGGGCCCGTCCTTCACATCTCACCCTAGGACACCTTGCCTGTGCCTAAGGTATGGCAGCCTTTGGAGAAGACAGTATAAGAACTAGGGGATGGATCTTGCTAGCCAGGGAAGTGCAGTGAGAAGGCCCTATAAGAGGGACTGGTCAAGCTGGAAATACACAAGTCTCTTCTGCAGGAAAAAGGGGTACAGTTTGAAGTACCCCAAATATATCTTTCCAGAATCAGATCTCTGCTCTTTGGATTCTAATACATGCTAGACGAGCCATCAAGAGCCTTCAAAGGTCAAATGTCCTAAGTTTATGGGTAGCAGTCAAGTCTACTTCAAGAGAAAGCTTGAGTATTAGGAAGGGAGTACAGATAACCCCTTAAAATGACAGGGTGGAGTGTCTGGTTGCCTGTCAAGCGGGTGAGCTGTGAGCTGTTAGGTGGGTGAGGGTACTAACCCAACACTGAGAGGAACTGCTGTCTAATAGGTCCCACAGCCCATCTGACTACAGAGTCCTGCTGGGCTACAACAAGCTGAGCAGTCCCACGAACTTCAGCCTGCAGATGACAGTGTATAAGCTTATTGTCCATGAAGACTATGACAAAATACACCGCATGTCAAGAGACATTGTCCTGATGCAACTGCATCGGCCTGTGGAATTCAACTCCCACGTTCTCCCTGTTTGTCTCCCAGACAGCAGCTTGAACCTGGATCCCTTTGCTTCCTGCTGGATAACTGGCTGGGGGATGCTTACGGAAGACAGTGAGCATACAGGGAAAACGGAGAGGGCGAGGGGCTGGGAGATTGTTTGGGGCCTTTCAATCCTTCTAAAGCCTCTTGATTCCCTCAGTCCAAAAAAAATATTATAATAATCTCTAACTTTGAGAATCAGAAACCTGGGCTTTTTCACTTTGAGCCATTCAGGATTACCAGGGCTAAGAACATATTTGACCCCCTCATTCCAAGGTTCTTTTGGGGTCTGGCCATTTCAGAGTTTCATCAAACACCACTCAATCTTGCATGGCCACAGAAGGTGCTGGATATGAATAAGGGGATGAGAGCAGCCTGCCCTCTGACCTGAGGCAAGCTAGGGTGTTCATGGCTGAAGAACATTTACCTGTATGGAACTCACTGCTCACCCCTTAATGCAAGTAATACTTGTTCATTCTCCTGACTTACACCGTCAGCTCTCGATATCTGTGATTCGGCACCTGCAGCCCAACCAACAGTGGACCCAAAGCATTCAGAGCAGGGGAAGGAACATTTCTCTCTTGATCATTTTTCTCTGAACAGTACAGTATTACTATTTTGCATAGCATTTACATTGCATCAGGTATTCTAAGAAATGTACAGATAATAAAAAGTACCCAGGAAGTGGATATGTTCTCTGCAAGTACTGTGATGTCATTTTATATAAGACATTTGAGCATCTGTGGATTTTGGAATCCTTGGAAGATGCCTACGGATACTGAAGGATAGCCAAATACTTTTAGACTGAGAGAGGGAGATGTTGGGCAGAGACTTTTTGTACAAAGGTGAATGCCTTTTATCTAAGAAAATATAATGGTGAGAGGGAAATAGTAGAATATAAAATTGGGTGACTCATAGGGTCACAATCTGGCAGAGCATCTCCACAAAAGCATTTGAGGTAGGAGTTTCCTTGAGGTTTGGGTTGGAACCACCATCCCTGCTCCTGGCCTCTAAGTATCAGTCCTACAGCTTAGTCCTTAGAACAGCCAGCTCACCAGCATTTCCAGTCACCTTCCTGTATGAACTGTCAGTCTCAGAACCTCTGAAAGGGGAAAGGAGATCTCCAAGCCAGGCCAGAGGAGAGGAGTTGGAGCATGAAGAGAACTCATGAGCTGGAGAGTCACCGGGGGTAGTGCAGCTGACATCAGTGGGACCCTGAGCTCTTCTTAGTCCTTGTCTTTCTACACTGTCCTCTGATGGCTGTTGCTAGCCCCTTACCCAGGCCTGAGGTTTGCCACACACAAGTACCTGCTGATGACCCACAAAAGGCTGTAGAGAGGGAGCACAAAGGAAGTGTGAGCTGTCATCCTAATACTGTGCGAGCACACAGAGGCTGCAGGTCAGAGCACGAGTGGCATCTAGAAACAGAATCCAAATAATTAAGTGCAGTTGCTCCTTGTGGTGAGGCCATTCTTACTGTCATACACTATAAGCTACCTGGGACCTGTGATGTTCACATTTGCTACATCCTAGCTAGGTCAGGATTCCCACTTCCATTCTCCCTGTTGCTATCTCTGTTTCCACAGAGAAGCCAGAAGAATTGTTTTGGGAATATAAGTGGATCTTTCCATTATTACCAAAGCACTTAGAATGAATTTGCAATCCCACAGCCTGGTGAAGAGGCACGGGCTGCTCTGGACCCTGCTATGACTACACCTCACCTTTTTCTGCTCCACTCTTTGCAACAACAATGACCTCCTTCCTGGTCCTTTCCCTCTGGTCCCTCCTTCCTGGTCCTTCCTCTTGGCTCTCTTGAATGCCTTTCCCCAGTTTTTGCAAGTCTACCACAGCCAACCAGAGTGGGTGCCCTCTGACAGCAAGCAGGCTGGAGAGGAACCAGGTTTTTCTCCAGGCTGATTTTCACATCTGAATTCTCTCCCACAGCATTCCTGTCTGCACCCTTCCAGCTGCAGGAGGGGGAGATGGCTCTCATAAGCCGTGAGCACTGTGCAGAATATTATGAACTTCCACCTGGTGTTGAGGACCCCAATCCCTATGTGGTAAAGGAGGACATGCTGTGTGCTGCGGAATTTGCAACAGAGAGATCTGTCTGCAGAGTAAGTGAGGCCTCTCAGACTCCATACTGAGCCTGGTCACCCTTCTGCTCCTAGAATGACCATGTCACCTCCCTCTGTGTCTTCTCTGTACTCTGCCACAACCCCTTTTCTAAAATCTTCCCTGAGCTCAACCCAACCTAAAATGTCAGACCCCTGAAAGAGTAGCAGCTCATCTCATTCATTTTCTTTGTACCTTTTAAAAAACATTGAAGTATAGCATGCAAGGAAAAGGGCTTAGTTTGTACTATTTGATGGTTTCAGTGTTCAATGCATTCACGCAACCAACACCCAAAGGGCGATGCTTATCCCTCTGTCCTGTCCCTATTCTCCCCTAATATCCCACCCTGTGGGGCCTAAGAGGCTCCTACTCTCATATGGGTGGGAGCGCAGAGTGCAGATGTCAGGCTCCTAGAGTCCTTTTGTTCATTCTCATGGCCTGTGACTGCCAACTTGGGTGATACCCAGGGTCCGCTTGTATATTTTGTGGGGTGGGGCTCTGAGGCCTTACTCTGAAAATACTGATCCAGGAGTTGTCACCTCCCTCGTATCTGGACTTTTAAAAATTGTCCAGCTTACTCTGATAAGCACCACTCATGTCGACAGAGGTGACCCCTGGAGCTCACTTTGTCTTCTCCACCCTGGGCAATGTGTGTCCCTCCCTGTCTCAATCCCACTGTCTATGTCCTCTCCTCAGGGAGACTCTGGGGGACCCCTTGTCTGCCCGGTACAAGGTATCTGGTACCTGATAGGAGTGAGCAGTTGGAGCGCACCGTGTTTAAGACCTGTGGGCCCCAGCGTCTTTGCCAATGTCACCTACTTTGCCAACTGGATCAAAGAACAGAAGCAGGCCAGTCCTCCACCTGAAGTCGCCGTGGCTCCTCCTCAGGAAAAACCCCCAGCACTGACTGGCTTAAATGCTCGGGACACTGTTGTCAAGCCCCAGATATTCATAGTCCTGCTGTCTTCTCAGATCTTCCTGCTACAGCTCATTTTGCTCAGGAACCTGTGATGGACCCATACCCCCCTAATGTCCAGGCTTTTCCCACAAGCCTCCTGGCTGAGTTCTGTACTACCCTTCCATGCTTCTATCTCTTGGCTTGTCTGTCCATCTGGGGCCAACTATGTTCCAAGACAGACAAAATAAAAATTAATGAAGAAGGATCTGGCTCTTGTTTCTCACACATCATTGTCAGGCCTCATGCCCAGTTGGCATTGAGCTGCCTGTTATAAGCCAGTCTCCTTCTTCCCTGGGCAAGGACACCCAGGGTACCAAGCTGGCCATGTGAGAGCTGAATGGCCTGCCTTGGGTAGTTGAATTCCACAAATTCAGTCCCAAGTCATGCTCTAAAGGGCATGTGTTCTTCCAGAAAAATGAGCCAAAATGCCAGGACCTCACCCTGTGGTGGAGCAGCTTGTGCTCTCAAAGCTGGGCATGGATAAGTGTCTTCTAGGCCCACAGCTCACAGAAGCTCTTGTGGAGAGTCTGCAATGATAGCAAAGGATTCTTAGGTCCAAGAGCTTTCTTTTATTTATTTATTTATTTATTTATTTATTTTTTAATTTTAAGGATAAAAGGAGGGAAACATTAACAGACTTACAACATTTTACAACATATCACAAGCACAATACAGACAATACAGAGTTACAAACAAAGTGGTAGGGAATTAACAATGGTGGTTGTATTACATATTGATGTCTTCAAAGTGGCTTCTCATGAAAACAGATATAGACATGCAATACTGGTCAACCAAAGACTCATTGACAGTTTCTTTCAGCATAGAAACAGCAGATAGAAGAACAACCATGTTATCTATCCTGTATATACATACATACAAAATTTCTCCTTCTTTCCCTTCTCTTTTCCCACATCCCAGAAGCCCTTTACTCTTCAGTGGTTTCCTATCATTTCACAGTGTCTATCATACCTCCGAGTTTAAATTAACTCTTTCAAGTTTTACACTAGTGACACAATGCGGTGCTTGCACATGTATGTTTGATTTATTTCACTTATGAGTATGGTCTCTAGTTGTGACCATTTAAATATAAAGGCCTCAAGTTTATCTTTCTTTACAGCTGAGTAATATTCCATTATATAAAAGTACCATAATTTTCTTATCCAATCCTCGGTGGATGGACATTTGGGTTGCTTCCACATTTTAGCAATTACAAATTGTGCTGCTATGAACATAGGTGCACATATATCACTGTGATATGATGTTTTTAGATCTTCTGGGAAAATACCCAGCAGGGGGATAGCTGGGTTGAATGGGACCTCTAAACCTAGTTTTCGGAGGAATCTCCAAACTGATTTCCACAGTGGTTTCACCAGTCTGCATTCCCACCAGCAGTGGAGAAGGGTTCCTATTTCTCCACAGCCTCGCCAGCATTTGTTATTGGTTGATTTCTTAATGCTAGCCATTCTTACTGGGGTAAGGTGGAATCTTAGTGTTGTTTTAATTTGCATTTCTCGAATGACTAATGATGTTGAACATTTTCTCATATATTTATTTGCCGTTTGTATCTCCTTGTCTGAGAAATGTGTGTTCATCTCAGCTGCCCATTTTTGGATTGGGTCTTTGAATTTGGAGGGGCTGAAATTTTTTAATTCTTTATATGTTCTAGATAGAAGCCCTTTGTCTGAGGGACAATCAGCTAAAATTTTTTCCAAGTTTGTGGGTTTTCTTTTGACTCTGCTGGTGATTTCTTTAGATGTGCAGAAACTTTTCAGTAGGATGAGATCCCAGTTGTTGATTCTTTCAAGTGTTTCACGTGCAATTTGGTTTTTATTCATGAACTCTCTGCCTACCCCTATGTCTTCGAGGTTTTTACCTACTTTCTCTTCCAATAGATTTAGTGTTTCTGGTTTAATATTGAGATCTGTGAACCATTTTGACTTGAGTTTGGTGCATGGTGATAGGCTTGGGTCTATTTTCAGTTTTTGGCAGGTATTGAGCCAATTTTTCCAGCACCATTTATTAAAGAGGCTATCATTCTTCCAGTGAGTTTGATTGGCCCCTTTATCAAAGATTAGGTGGTTGAGTGTGTTTTTGGTTGTGTCTGTTTCTTCCAGTCTGTTCCATTGATCCTCAGGCCCAAGAGCTTTCTTTTAATAAGTTGACTAGTTTGAGCATTTTGTCAAAGCAATGGTAATCTGACTAATGCAGTCAGGTACCTGTACTGGGCATAAGAAAGAAGGGATTTTGATTTGAGAAATTAACCAGAGTTAGTGAGAGAAGCTCAGAGAACCTGGAGGTAGTCTTGCAGTGGCTGTAGCTGGGGTTGAGGGCAGGGCAGTGAGAGGACAGTTCTGAAAAGACCATTCACCTATCTGTTCTTGCCTCTTGGCTTCCCATGGTTTTAATAAAGGCTCCTTACCATTCCTCAGGTGCCAGGGTTGCAGAGTGGCAGGTTGTGAGTGCTCCCCTCAGCCACCCATAAGCAACTGCCTTCTAAACCCTTTGTTATGGTTTAGATCTAAGTTGTTCCCAAAATACTTCATGTGCTCAGAGGTGGGGTTTAGGAAGGTGACTGGATAATGTGGTTGGTGTAGGTGACTTGTTAGTGGGAGGTAGGTCCTGATTAGTTGGGGTGTGACCTGGGAGGGCACATTTCCATCCCCTGCTGCCCCTTTTACTCCCCACTTCCTGGAAGTCATAGGATGAGCAGCTTTCCTTGGTCCTGGCCCTCCCACTGAGTTCTCCCTCGGATCCAGCTGACCAGGGAATGTAGCAATGAGCCAGGATAACCCTCTCCTCCTTTAAATTGTGGGTATTGGGTGATGAAGTGACTAAGACATCCCTCCTACAAACCCCAAGAAAGCATAATGCTCTCTGGAACAACAGTCTCCTCCCACTGTGATTTTACACCTGGTTGAAAAACTTGCAAGCTTCAGCATAAATAAGTTAAACAAATTTTGTGTGTGAACCTAGAGCTTCATGGATGCAAGGCATTCTAACCACTGAGCTGAACTCTAGCCCCTCTTCCAAGGCTTTAAGTTGAATTCCTGACTGTGGAAGCTGCCTGGGGGGTAGGGTGCAAAGTAAAGAGAAGTGCTGTGTGCTTAGGGCCCCTCCTTGAGCTCCTCAGAACTTCATTCTTCCACACATATTTCCTCACTGAGCAAGAGCAAAGCTACTAGCCCTGGGGAATGTGCACACATGCCAGGACACCACCCACCTCAAAAACATGGTTGCACTTCAAGACTACAACGGAAAATGTATAATACTTGAAAAACAATTACTGGAGGAGATTGGCCATTTAATTTTAATAAGCACAATAAATTATGAGTATAGAAAAATATTACTAGCAATAAGACACAAGACCAAAAAAATAAAAAACCAAGTCAAAATATTACATGTGAAAAATATAAGGCACAGCGGCCACTGTGGCAGCGAGGGAGTGCGCCCATCTGTGAATGAGCCCTGGGCCAAATGCAGGCTCCAGGAAAAGGTGGTGGCATGCTTCTGCCTCCTGTGCATACAACCCATGGCAGCTGGTCGCCTCTGTGGGGCACATGTGATTATGGAGGTTATCAGGTCCAAAAAATATAAAGCTGGCCAGCAGGCTGGAGACTCAGGAGAGCTGATGTTGTAGTTCAAGTCCATATTTATTACAGTTTTTATTTTCTACATTTTGGATAGTTTGACATCTTGAAAGACTTTAGTGGTTGGGGAAAGAGTGCCCCTCGCAGGGCTTGTGGGCTTACAAAATAACCTTCCAATGTCCACCTGCATGCAGTCACAAGTGGAAGAATGAAAAAGGGCTGTCTGCAGGCTGGAGACCAGAGGATCCAGTCAAAACTCAAAGGCCTGGAGCTCACTGCAGTCTGGTGTGAGTCCTAACCAGAAAGCCAAGGTCTGCATCAGAAGGCTGAAGAGTCTGTGCTAGTACCTGAAGGAACTGAAGATGAACATCCAAAGGTGATGGTGAAGACAACAGCTCCACCAAGGAAACAAAAGGGAAGAATTTCTTCTTTCCCTTTGTATTCCATCCAGGCTACAAGGCTCTTGGTTGATGCCACCCACTTTTGGGATGGGTCTTCCCACTTCAGTTTGCAGTCTACACGTCCATCATCCAGAGACAACCCCAGATCTGTGGTCCGCTAATCCTTTAGGCATTTCTTAATCCACTTTCTTTTTTTTTTTTTTTTTTTTTTTGTTTTTCTCCGGT